AGTGTCAATTAGATAGGTACTAATCGATACCCCTACTGGCGGGTAGGAAAGCCATAATAAATTGTTCGTCATATACATTATGGAAGATGTCAATCTGACGCTGTTAATTGGAATTGGTGCTTTCGGGTCTATACTACTCACAGAACAGGCATTTTATTTTCTTTCTTAAATAAAAAAATAAAGTCATCGTTTGAAAAAAAATTTTCGTCTGTCCTATCTAATCTATACTTACATGTATTAAAATGAAACCATCGGCAACACTTGCGCCGCAAATCGGCACGCAAAATGCTTGTGGTCTGTATCTGGCTTTATCTTCCTCTGTGAGATAACACCTGGACAATAATTTTAAAAGTTTGTGTTTGAAATCGCCATCCAGTATAGTAGAACGAACGGGCTGTTGAACAGAAGGCTTCTCTTCAAAGTAAATGCTTATTTAATCTCTGAAATTTTATATGGCATATTTTGTACTCACTATACAATATGTCGCTTCGCGTATTGTACATAGTTGCACGCACCTCTATACATGCCTTTTTTTTTTATTATTTCTGCGCAAATACAATATTGAAAGCAAATGTCGTTTTCATCAAGCTTTATTTCCTTGTATAGCGGACCTAAAAGCATCTTGTATGAAGTAGCATGCTGTTGCGCATATGCTAATTCGCAATGGTCTCAATGAAGGCTGTTTGAAGTGTCCAATCTGACCGTCTTTTGATGGCTGTTCCTTTTGATGCTCCTGTTATTCTGGAAGTTTCCTACGTACTTCGTAGCTGATTCAACCGTGCCCAGTAGCGTCGTTGTCTGTGCATTCGGCAAAAATTCTATCAAATTGTTGGTCTTGAGAGATGTAGATCTCAAGGTTAACTGTTTTACTCAGGAGACTTAAGGCTGTCTTACATATCGGCAATTTACTTTAAACCGAAACCATTCATTTCAGCCGTATTTGTCCGAATCCTTACTAGTCAACACGAACTGATTAAAGGGAGGAGCGTTCGTGAATTATCAGGGAAAACGTTGTGAGTTGTCTACTTATAAGTATGCTCATAAATTTCTATACAAAATTCATTTCAACACATTATAGCGCTTTAATTATGGACTATCCGCCTGCGCTCTTGCTTGACATGTTTCTTAATAGGTTGTTTTCCTTTATACGTTATGTTTCAATATTTATCTCAATTTAGCGGCTGTTTCACAACTTCATGAGCTCTTTTACAACGGAATACCATTCTAGCTTTACTTGTTACTATACATTTCATTTTGGACGACTGTTTTTTTTAGATAGCGTTCCGCCAACTCCTCAGCTATGCACATGCGTGTATCCTGTACCTTCAAAACGGTAATTGGATTGGCAGTTTCCCCACTTAGTCTTGCTCAAGATGCCCCATTGTCAGATTATTGCGAAAACCTTGTGCCTTGTAATATCGTCCTACCTATGCCTGAAATACACATTACAAACAGGATTGAAGAAAACATTCCCCTCTGAAAAACCTGTTTGATGGTTAGTGTTCGAGTTGCATTTTGTACCCTATCGCACAGCAAGCATATATCGCTTCTAGTCATATACGATACGATATAGTACGTTTTTCAAATGTCTTGAAATCCATCAGAGCTGTTCTCATGTCCGGATTTCTTAGAGGACTGCATGCACCTTCGATACGAACCAAAACTCCAAAAAAGTATCCTATTTTCAGCGTTAGCCTGATAGGTATCACTCGTGAAATTCAAAAAGGTTGTTTTTCGCCGATCGAGCTTGCATGACATGTTTCATGTTACGGTGTGGTTGACCTCTACCACGTTTACTAATTTCTTTAAAAATATTCTATTCAGGACATTGTCTTGAGAATCGTGCGATTGGAACCTAGCATAAAACTGTTTCGGCCGGATTTCAATAACAGTACAGCCCCAGCGACGTTGGCCACAACTAGGGGTTTAGCTCTTTTCGTGAATTAGCGTCTCTGGTTTTTCCTAGTAACGGAAGTGCTTGATACTTATTTAGCTGAACTGTACTAATACAATTTGCAAATGATTCGGTTCACAATCAAACCGCCATTGCACCCGAAGCAATTATGACCTTCTTATTCTGATGATATACCTTCACTGAGGTTGTCAGCATTTTATCGAAGACGTCCCATAAAACCCAACGCAATACCACAGACGCCAATGCAAGTGGACTCTTCAAGTTCTCGCCTTTTGCATTTTTAAACCTCTTCTATTCACCCGGAAAGAACAAGCTCGTCGATATTACCGATACACGTACTTCTAATTTTTCTTTTAGAGTTCTTGCAAATTTCATTACTTCCATAATTTAAAGTTCGAAGTTGCTAGGAGTTCAAACTTCATCGATCGGATGCCGCGATATTCATCAGATTTGTAGGTAGAAATCGGGAGTGGGCGCTGCGGGCAGCATCCTGGACCTAATAGCTGCTTGTGCTTTCGACTGTACTATCAAACTCGAAGCGTTCTGCCGTTTACGAAGCCCACTCCCGATTACTTCACCACTTTTTCACCAATTAACAAATAGTTTTCTGTTCTACTGTGGCCCGATGCTTCATATTGGACAGTGTGGTCAAATGTTGTGATGACGTCTTTAATAGCTAGTCGAAAGTTCTCCGTGATTTCATTACTCGTTGTTACTATGTCCAACTTAGATCTGCGAAGTGTGAGCAGAATTTCGCCTAAATGAAAAGGTAAGGCTATTCATGATCTTAGGTTGATATCTGTCCTTTTCGTCAGCCTCTCTACTATCCTATTTTCCATGCTGTATGCTAGTTCGTTCAAATTATCGGCAGTTATCGATGGTTTAAAGCATCGCCTTTGTACTAATTAGCTAAGGCCCCAGTTCCACTCTCGACACGCAGATAAACTTCATAACCTCTGGGTTGAGCTGGGCTTCCTTACCGTTTACCTAGACGAAAGTCAAGGCCCGTGACGAACACCCACCATCCACTGTTCTCCTGTCTACATACGCAGTGTAGCTTAAAATATGAGAATGGACATCTTTCCATGCATAGTGTTATTAAAGCCTTAGGATGCTTGCGGATCTCTCTCTGATTAGTCGTAGATTTTTCTTCCAAGCTCCAGCTACAGTTCCAATGGATTATTAGACACCTTGATTGGGTACCGTTGCGACCTATCTAGACCCGTAGCGTGATTAAGCAGATCAATTAACAGAAAAATCTTTATGGTATTTTTCGTCCTGCACCAAATTTAATTTTACCTTCATTCAAATCGGTCGGTTCTTACCGGCTCTTGCCCCATATTGGCCTGGAATGTATCGACCGGTTTTCCTCAAAAACCTGATTAAAGCCTTTTATGCCATCATCATAGCAGTGACGTATTTATCAATATCTATTTAGTTATAGGTAAAGAGGGAGCTGATGCCTAAGAAATATTAGCGTGTTTGGTGGTCGAAGACCACTAACCGAATGATATTAGCCTATAATTTCTAACATCTAATGACTCGTTAGTTCAACTGTTACTATATGCATCGGTCTTTAAGTTACTATTGCACGTGTGTGAAAATTATCCATGAAGGCGCTAGCCAGTGCAATAAAATGCTCGTTAATTCAAAGGATTTTATTATTAAGGGGAAGGTATTGCAATTTAACAAATGGACATTGACGTAAGTTAGTTTACAATGTGCCACGTTTGTATAACTCAAAACGCAGTAAGTGCGCTATGACCCGTCTCACAGCGGGTAAATATACAAAAGTTCGATTGTGTATTACAGGTTATTAACTCTGACACTCCTTCGTAAACATATGGGCGTATAGGTAAACTCGGGCCAATTACGACGGATCCTGTAGTTGTTCTTTTTTTGTTCTTACTATCTCGAATAAGGTAGCGATGCTAAACTGTTGTAGACAACGGCTTCGCGTTAAACGGCTGGCTACTATTAAGCCATACTTTTCAATTCTATTAAAACCGAAAATAATTGTCAACCCATACCATATACCCCTAGATAATGAACATGATATTATTTCATGTAGGCGGATTCCAGGAACTTCGGGCTTTTACGGCGTTTGAACGTTGCAAAGGTTTGCGATTGCGTTGCAACGATTTGCTATTTTATATATAAACTAGTTAATAATTCATTGTAATAGTGGGTTTGAATACAGTGGAATATGTGGACGGTTATACAAGACAAGAACTCATAGCCGTGCGCAACAATATGCCTGTACATTACCGTGGTCATTTAGATACGTGCGCGCTCATTTTACGTGACTGTTCTGTTCCGCATAAACATTGGATTGCTCTCGATATTTATTGATGTCAAGAAAGATGGTCATTCAGACATTTACTGTTCCTTCTTTCTGCGCTATCGACTGACTTCGTGGAATATCATTCAATAGCTGATTGACGCTATTGGACATTGTTATCCACCCATTCCATCCCGGCTGCAAAATGATGCATTCACACCCATTTATCCACCCCTCTTCCTTGCTGACATCCGTCAAGTGGGTCCTCCACCCACCTGCAAACTGAGATATCTTTGCCTTGGGGGCGCAGAAGCACTAGCGGTTCCAGCGGTGGCCACTTAGTCGATATGTAGCAACAGGTCGAGTCTGGCGATCATGGCTACCGTCACTTACCAGCATTATTGAGACTGTCGCCTCCTATTTCTCATCCTTCTTCTTCAGCGGCACAGTTACGGTTCAAGCGTTCGATTTCTAATATGCATTTTCTGCCATAGAGAATGGAGTGTCGATTTGTTCCTTTTCCCGCCCATCCACCTCACACAGAGACAGTGTCTCCCGATACGCCATTTTCGCTCGTTTTCGGCGGTGCCAGCACGAACCTAGACAAGCTTGCCACCGAACCCCTCAAACCTACAAGAAATGGTAGGCCGAATGCGGATGGAGCGGAATAGGGTGGCATTTAGGGGAGAGGGCAAATAGGGAGAGGGAAGCACATGGAATCAAATGCAAAGGACGGTCGGCGGAGATCTCTAGGCGGTCCGCGTGGTGGACGCGAGCTCAGCAGGACGAAAGGGTTTGGGCCAAGCTGAAGCCGGCAAAGACAGGATTTCAGATTGCAAAGCTACGGCAGAGTTGTTATTTCGCCGTCGCGATGCTTTGTGGCCAATCGTGCAAAAATTGATGTTGGTGTAGCACCGTGTCAAAGTTATTGAAGTACGAAGATACAGGAACGGCATCAGGATGAAGAAGGCCGTATAAGCGAATATATGTTATAAGTTTGTAAAAAGATACACATATGAGACCATCGCTTCTAGGTTGTAGAGGGCCAGTGTATTAGCGTACAGCAGCATTGGCTATATAACGAGTATCGGAACATTATGTAATCGGAAAACGTTTTAACGGTCAGTCAGCTGGAAACGAACAGCGATTCTTCAATGCTTTCTTGAGAAATTGTGTGTGTTTTTTTTATTGGCTATAGTCGTATGTGAATGGGGCAAAGGCAACTTCCACGTCAAAACATGCCCGGATGCTTACGGAAATCAATTTCCAGTTGCGAGTGCATTGATCAAATGACTGTGTTCGAGTGTGAGTGAGTGAGTGAGTGAGTGATCGTGCTTGTCCTAAGCGTTAAGTGTCGCAGTGAGATCGCGGTGTCTTGTGGGGCATTTGGGGTGACTGTGCTGTTGGATTAAAAAATGCGACCCCTTGCCACTAGGAGCACGTGGATGGCGATGACGGTAACCAGCATCTCTTCAAACAGAGTAACACCAACAACTGGCGGAAGATATGATAAACTGAATCAACGACTGCAAACCTTATCGTTAGTGGAGAAGAACTGTGGTAAAAATCGCCTACATTGAAAGTGCATCAGAGTCCACTCTAGACTCGAACTGCAATAGAAGCAGGCTGTAGAGATCCAATAGGGCATTAACTTCTACAAGGGCCGCCTTACATGCTCAGACTCTACTGTTAAAGGTATAAGTGTATCACTGCATGTGTAGCTATATAGCACATGTTAATCCGCTATGAACTACAACAATAGAAATATGATCGCGTATTGACATTTTTGCCTATATTGGAAGCTTGTATATCTGTAGGCCTACTTTAAAACAAGACCATGTTAGCTTGTTTTACCAAGCGTTTCGGAAGTCAGTGTCACCATTTAAGGGTTTTATAAGGCGAAGCAGATGAGAGCACAGGAAGCTGACACTTGCTACACAGCTAAGACCTGAGGTTACTGAATACATCATTTGGCTGATATCGCTTCGAGGGTTACGTTATTGGGTGAGAACTAATGTCTCGCTTGACAAAAAATCAATCTAAAAAATCTCCTGCTTGCTCCCTGTTTCGACCCACTTCACCCTTATCAGTTTTTATAATATTATTATTATTATTATTCAACTATTATTACTAGTTAGTTGAACTAGAACTGGATTTACCAAATAGGGTTTAAGTCATCGATATATAAAGCTGGGGTTCAGTCAATCAGCCTAGTTGCGATCGCCCCGGGCCATTTGCCTTTTTATAATGAGGAATGATATGTCTCGTCTATAAAACTCCTCTTGACTTGTCTAAATATGTCTTAGTACGAATTTATTGTAGTGAGATAGTGTTTACCGCTGGAAAATACCTGATATCTTCTAAACCATGCGTCAATTTTTTTCTGTTCTATAGGAAGCGTAAGGTTTTGTTTGGGCCAATATTTGGAGGACTTATTGTGATATTGATATAAAACTTTTTCTTTTTATTAATTTAGCCCTCAAGTTCTGCCTTTCCAAGGAATTGCTAGTTATTAAAAAAAAAGGTAAGAAGTATACTTCACAAGGAAGAAGTAAATTTCTTCACTTTTTTAACCGAATCAGTAGTTTCTCCAAAATGACACACTTCCCAATGTGACATGGGTCAAAATAAGTACTTTAGATAATTCCAACCTTCAGCAGTAAAATAGCACCGATGTTTATGGTCTTGTTGGAAAAAAACTTCGTTTACTGAGACTAATCATCCTTCCAGGGAATGACGTCGACTACTGAAGCATTCCGCATTAAAAGTCGTAAATACTATGACCGTATGTCTTTAAAGTGGATCAAAGACGATCCAGCTCGAGTCGGGGAGGAGAGCGCTAATATCATACGAACTTTTTTTTCGCTAGTAAGTATGATAGTAACTTAATCAAAATCGCGATTAGGTCTCTGGCATATTTATTGTGGAAGCATTCATTAACGATTTCGAGTAAGAGTTACTTTTGCAGGGATACCTGAAAGTCGCAATATGCAAAAGTGTCCCGATTTCTTTTATTACTCTTTTGGCTACCTTTTATCTGTCACTTTAGAATACAGGCTCTACATGATGCACGCAGTTCTTGCACGCAGGTATTGTTTAAGTGGCAGACCTTGCGTCGTTTGCATGGGGACCTTTGCGGCTTCAAAGATACATCGACCCGTTTTATTGAACGAGATCGACATCAAATTCCTATTACCATAAATATTTGCTTTTATTTGAAGAAGACACACGCAACCATTTCGGCTTTCTGGACTAAAAATAACAATGGAAAAGGCACAATTATCTTGGTTAGTAAACAGTGGATATCTTTCAGAGTTCCAACAGTCTACCATATCAAATATTCCAATGTTTGTATATATGCATATTCGAACTTTTACGATGGTAGAGCAGTCTTATGTATGTATTAGTCAAGAATTATTTTATCCTTTTGGGATTTATTAACCGTTTTCGTTCAATAAAGAGTTTTTCATTGTAATTTGGCAAAGTTGACTAAGGGCATCTGAGATATATTGCACCCATTTTTATATATAGCGTCAAAGCTGTTAAGTTTGTTTGCAGATTACATACATATATCTAAAGCACCTTTCGGAAGAGTTAAGTTTGGAATTATTGCTGCCTAAACTTGTATGGTGGCGTAGACATATTTATATAGTAGTTTTACGCTATTTTTACTGTGTACTGTTTGCTGAAAAATGGTTTATTCACGATACATTACGAAGCTATGCAATGCAAAGAATCATTATGGTTCGTTCCTACTCCATCGGCATTTGTAACATTGAAATTTACGCTGACTGTTTCTATGGGTTTATTTCTGTCGTTAATAGAATTCGTATAAGAATGACAAGAAGGTGGTCCTATTCGACCTATTCATTAAACAGGCAGTCTTAGCTTGGCCAAAGGAGTGCATTTTTATTAATGAAATCCGCGTACTACGAGCAGATAATTATTGGCCGAATCAGTATTGGTATCACGGGCAAACGACCTCTACGTTCAACCAATAGGAATCGTTCTGTTTGATCTTGATATGACTAGATTAGCTTCCGGTTCTTCCTGCTACTTTTATATGCCGATCAGAATCCTCGGACAATGTAATGCGGCTGATTGTATCCGTGGGAGAAATCACGGTAAGCTGCTAACGTGCTGCGATAACAAGCACATGCCGGACCTACTTAGCTGAATTTAGTTGATTAGGGAAGCGTGCTTACAAAACCTTGAACGTCGGGCTGCTTAAGGGAGGGAAATATATATTTTGGTATACGAATGTAAGCTAGCAGGATGGGCTCAAACTAAGCGTCCGTATAACAATGGGAGCCAACGAAGAATATGCCTCTAGTATGTAAACGTGAAAATAGCTTAATCACGGAAGATCTTGCCTGTAAAGTAGACATTATTTACCATAGCAGTGAACCATGGCAAAAAACATAGGCCGTAACGTCACTTGCGACGCATAACTGTCACACTGCCATACTCGAGGTTAGGTCGAGAGCGTTCTATATAAGTTTTTCATCCCGATACAAAGCTGCCCTGAAGAGTATTAAGAATCATCGCTTCGCAGAATATGTATGATCGAGTGCTTTCTTTTTAGTGCATTATTGATGTAATATTTCTGAAAATGCCCAATTGTGTCACACGTATGATTAGAAGGGGATTTTAATCGGGATATTTTTTGGGCAGAAGGACAAGATTTTGCGGTTGTTCGCCCATAAATTGTCAGTTTAGACATTTAGACTCTTGTTTTATCATTCGCACTGAAAAACATACGACCCCTATATTGGTCTCATGGAAAGACCCAATTAGCACAGTGATATAACTGTTTGTGTCTAACTTAATGAAACCGAATCCTGGGAAACCAGGCACAATAAGACGGGTTTAAGGAAAAACGTACGTGTCTATGGTAGTTCAAAATCCTTATGGTTGAATTGTACTTGATACTAGAAAACGAGTAATACAAATTTTTATGCGTCTTGTATCTTTTTAAAAGGTCTTTGAAAGATAACATTTTGAAGAACAACAGCTTGCTTCGTTCCAGAAGCTTAATGGAACGTTTTTTGGACCGAAAATAGAAATCTATATTGTTTAAATCTACGAATTGTTTTATGTATAACTAAGTGTGTCAGGCCTACATAGAATGATATATATTCTAGACGGTTCGATTGTGATCTGGCCTTGCACTGTGATACCTGCGTATATAAAGTAGTCCTGATACCCAGTAGTATTAAATCTACCTAGATCTGTTCTGGGGACACTGAAATTCAGATATTTCACATAATAAATTTACAATGTGCTCTATACTAAATACGATCCTTATCCCTCATTTTATTGAGCTTATGCGACGACAATCAATATTCTTATTTCATGTTTAAAAACAACTAATAAACGTTATTTTCGAGTACAAAGTAAATTGATAAAGTTGATGAAAAACTAAGCGATTTTCAACTTCCAAAGGTTCTTAGGAAGTTCCAGAAATTTTGTTCTTATTGAACAAGTTTCATAAGTTCGTTTTCGTTAAAGAAATTGATCTTTTAGTTTGGGGTTTGGGGGCTTCGAAAGTAATGTGCAATTATTCAGACCAGTTGCACTTAAAACCCTACTAAGCAGACGAGAGCTTCCAATTGATCTTTAGTAACCGTTCTCGACGTTCACTTGGTGCATCCGTTTATTTAGGGTAGCGGAAAATACGCTGGTCTTCGAACTTCAACAAATAGGTCTCCGGCTAGGGGGTACGGATGTAGCGATTTCAGCTTGACACGCAGCCTTCACAAAAAAGAAAAAATCAACTGGGGTTCAAGGTAAGTAGTTATCGATCATTTTGGCCGGATGTCTGTCTAGCAGTCTTATTTTTTGCTATCTATTTTGTTAGCCATTTATAAATATGCTTATTCTATTTTTACTATTGTGTACCTCTACCGAATACAGCAACATAATACCTGGTTGCAGGATGACTATGCATTCCAGTACTAATCAATCTAAGTGGTATAAGCGCGGCATTACTTTCGCTGTTTTTTCTTTTCAATTTTCAAGCCGCTAAAATAAACTAAGAGTATTCTTAGGGGCTATGATGCGCTGATCAGTCAGTGATGACAACGAAGAGGCAAAGATCGAGAACCGCGGTGTAGCTTAGAACCGGCTTGCAGCTTTCGAATAGGCCGAGGATCGAAGTAGTTCTGGATATGGTATAGAATGTTGCGATAAATACCGACACCGGTGTTTTGCTTGCCATTTTCTTCGAAATACGGGTTTCGACTATAGATACTGATTTTATAACTCCGGCATCGCCCCGTCAGCGATATATCCTGCATGCGTCTTTGCAGAAGAGCAGATCAGCTTAACCAATTTAAGGTATCTTCATTTCCAATTGACCGAAATGTTGTGTGCATGGAGCTGTTCTTTCCTTATGAGGAAAAGTTAATGGCCTTTAAGCATACTGCATATCCTTTAATTAGAGCACCTGCGTTTCGGGGCAGGTCACTGCTTTACATTACTCTTTTCCTCATCGAAAAGACACCAACAATCAAAGGAACAAGAACAACATAACAACTTTGCCTCTTGACCTCTGATAGCAGTCGGCTTGGGGTAACCATACACCTTTGCTAGAAAACAAAGTAAATTTGACTATCAAGCGCTTGCCGTTTTGATATTTTCAATATCACACTAAGGCATCTAGAATTAGATACCCACAATAGAGTACGTAACAGTACAAAAAACAATGTGCGCACTAGGGAACATCAGGCATGGCACAAGAATTATGAGTGACCACCGCAGTTTCCACCGGAAATGCTGTACAAAGCAATGATACTGATTGGAAAAGGCAAACAATTACATTTCCGCTGAAAAACGCTTAATCGACACAAGCCGATTTTAGCTCTGCTATGGTGTGATGCGACGGGAACATGTCATCAGTGAATTTAGAAGGTGCGCGTAATTGCAAAGCTGAAGGCGTGATCTCATAACGTTAGTGGAGCAGATCTCTTGAGTGGATGAAAAGGATCTATCCCGCGCAGGATTCGACTTGAGAGAGAAGGTGCAATTTTTTTTACCCTTACTTTTTTCCCGAACGAATCGTTTTGACCCGGCCTCTAAGAGCACTGTCGGCTAACCATGACCCATAAAAAAACAAGCCCTAATTCGTTTTAACGGAGACTTGCTTTGATACAGAAATGGCGACGTTGCCGATGTTTCAAAGGAGTACCGAGGAAACACCTGTAAGGGAACAGTCCTGTAAAGTTGAACACAACGCTGCAGGCGAACCTTTTCTTAGACATGACATTCTTCTTAATCGACACAAATATAAAAAAAAAAAGCACGCATCAGTGCGCCCTTATATATATTTAATATAATTAAAATGAATTCCAGCTATGTGTGTTGGCTACGCTTGGCTAGCTGCAAGACAACAGGCAAAATTTGTTGCGCACAAAAAGCCTTATCTATAGAAAATTCAATGTGAGTTAAGAATGATGATGTACACATACCATTTAATTAAGTGAATTTTCATACTTCGCTGGTAACAATACTTTTAGCAGCTCTAAATTAATACATACTGTCTTAGTTCTTCACTTTTAATATTATTGTAATTGATCAATTAATGGGTGCTGATACGTTCGACACCTCTAGCCTTCATTCTGTTTGTTACTAATTAGCAACACATTGAGGCTTTGGGATTCGCTTCGTTGAGCTAGCCAATGAATAGGGAAACAAAAATAATTTTTTTATTATTATCGTATACCTAATCAATAATACTATTCTCCCTTTCATACATCGGTCCATCCAGGTCAATGCAACATGAATTGTTTTTCTAGTGTTTGAGGCGAGTCGATTTACTATATGCGACTCAGCACCTATAGAGTAGATGGCTATGAAAGCACCACATATAATCGCCCCATTGGTTTGGGTGAGGCATCGTAGGGGATATGTGGACCCCACCAAGACGTTAAAATGACTAATACCCAGTTGTAAAGAAGGCATGATTATTTGGATCACTGTGTCGCACACAATTACTTTCGAAGGCGCGATCAGATGTTAGATCTGCGGAAGGGTTCAAATGCGTTTTTAGCGATAAGGCCCAAAACGCGGCGCAAGAGACAATCGTTCATTGAACGGTGCACTCAAATGGGAAAAACTTTTGCAGGCTGTTTGTTATAATGAACATACTTTTATGCGCTACTTCTGGCAGCAGACGAAGGCCAGTTTTTCTTAAACTAAATGACAAATTCGTTATAGCGATTCGTTATAACAACAGCGCGTCCTAAACGAGGCTTAGATCTACAAGGCTCGAGAAGCCAGTTTTGATAACCTGAATTTTCAATATAAAAGTTGACGGCCGTAGAGAGAAGAACATTAATTGTAATAATAATAGAAAGACAAGCTCTAACGTTTTACGGATTTTTGCGCCTTCTAAACCTTTTTTTTGCCGTTCCAACGCCTCGTATTTTTTAGACCTTTGACGTGCTATCAGCCCAAAATTGAATTCTATTGGAATTTTTGTATGTAGCGTACTTGAGCGACGCTTCAATGAGTTAACTTGTGTTGCTTGATGCACGGTAGCCATTAAATGGTTATTTATGGATTAAAAAAGGCATACTTAAAACTGACTAGCGAATGGCTTAGGTCCCGAGCCGAAGCTCTACGCCGCACTGTACGGTGGCCATCTTGAACGGAAGTGACGCTTCTAGCACATGCCGAAATGTGGCTGCTTTTGTTTAGATACAGTCTTAGAAATAGGGCGTAAGAAAAATTATTATTATCTAAAAAGCGCCATTCTGTATATAATCAGGCGGTGCCGATTACTACAAATACGGACGAGATGCACATGCAATAGTAGGCCTTACCCTTAGCAATGTATATATTTGCTGCACGAATAGGTCGCTGTACTATTAATAAGCACCCTATCTCTGCTTGCATTACGGTCTCTACCTTCCGAACGCATCCAGAAAGCCGGCAAATCGAAGGGCATCGTGCACGGCCACTGCTATGGCACGTTCGACCGTCTCATAGGTCTATCTATGGTGTATCTGTCCAAGCGATCAGATACAATGGGCTATAACGTGCCCAAAAATTAAGAACTAGTTAAGACGTGACCAGTATTTGTTAGCGTTCGTTCACTAGTGAATATCAAAGTCCAGCAAAGTCATAATAGAACGGCAAGTGCCCTTGTCGAGGCTGAGAATATATTGTCGCTTCGTGCCTATGGCGTTGCCGCGATGGAAATTTACTGGCATACTATTTGATCAGAAGCGTATTATACTGATAAACTAAAAGCAGATTAAAATGGCTAGTATAATTTAGTATAATAGCGACTGAAACACAGAGCGATTACCGCAAGTCATCGTTGAACGGTCGGAGGGTGCATACGCTTTGGTCGGTTGCTGCGCCATTCATATCAGTTATGTAGTTATTTTTATCTGACATATAACGCTAATTAATAATGCAAGGTCTGTAAAGCTGTTGAGAAGAGAATTCCATTGTAAGCTGAAGTATTTTAGGTGGTCGGTCTGTTTCTGGACCCTTAGATATATTGTAATGGCGATGTGGGTGCACATATTAGTCGTTCCCCGTTGCATATAAAGGTAAATACCTTTTGGCCTGAACTGCATTGATTAGGGAAAAAGTTGTATTCGCCCAGAATCACATACATATACACAAATACACTGATTAGTACAATGATGACCAGTTTCTGTCAACAATGACCTTCGAGGTTTATTAATAATGACAGTTTGGCCTATTACTGAACTGATGAATAGTCAAGACACTTTCGACTGAAGCTAGATATGTATAACAGAGACGAAGTTCATTAGATAGCATGTGTAAAGATCTGATATGTTGGTGCTATCTTCACTATTTTGGCCCTCTTTGGTAGAGAGGTTAGGTGACTGATACGTGGGTTCGCTACTATGGCTGTGAGAACTCCCATTGGATGGTTAGGCAGCGATTTGGGGTAAATAAATCCATATCAGTGTATGTATATATATGTTTTCTAATCGGTAATAATATCTACTATAAATATGTATTTCATACAAGTATAAGCCTCTGGACAGGCGTTCTAATCTGACCTAATGGACGCGTTTAATAAGACACTACAAACTTGTTGTAGCATCATTTGGAGGCAGTGGGGTACAGCGTAGCTAAAAATATCTTTCGTCGTGTCGGGTACTGACACTTGGAGCACTTTAAATCGTATTTAAACTGGCTTTCCGGATGTAACTCGAATGAACTCGGATGTAACCGCAAATAACTCGAAAGGACAACTCCGATTTTATTACGCATAGTCTCCTAACTACCCTATTAAGTTTGCTTCAACTCCCTAAATAATAAAAGATCTATTGCTCAAAACTGTGACAATATAGGGATTAGATTCGTTATCCATGATCTGTCCTCTAAAAGCAATACCCTTATTTCTAAAACGCAAAGGGAATATTGTATCGACTGATATTTCAGTGTTCATTTTATGTAAACTGTTCGATTTTGAAAAAATTATCTGGTAACTGTCAGTGACGTAGGCGAGCTGGAGCAGTTAACCTTCCCTTTGTAGAAATTTGGACGCCTTTAAGGTGAACAGGTAATACATTAGTTTGATTGAAATACGCTGCCAGAACATTAGGGTTTGCCTTATTTATTTATTTATTTATTATAACACTAAATACAGTGAGGGTCAAATATATGAAATATTGTGGACAGAATACCAAACGATAGGTGAAGCTTAATTCACGAAGTTCCAAAATGACAGTCTGAAATAAAGAATTATATCTGCAATTACTATAATTGTTTGCTCGAAATTTAAAAAAGGCAGCATATG